CCCTCCTCTATATATATATATATATATATATATATATATATAATTAAAATAATTTAGATGTTCATTAGTTAAGTAAAAGGATGTATGTAATAGTATCCATATCATTTATTTATATCTTAAATAATTTATTAATTGTCAAAATTAAATGATACGATGAAGTATCAATTAGTTTTTTTAACATATCAATTAGTTTCTTATTTGAATGAAATTTTATAAACTTTATCTATTTTTATATAAACTTTTAATTCAACAATATTTCATTGATTGATTTTGTATTTTTTGAAGAAAACTATTAACTGATGTAAGTATAAAAGTCGATCTTATAAAGTGTCTTAAAAATATAACTCAATTTTACTTATATATGTAAGGTAAGGATTGTTTCTTATTTATATACATTTTATTGATTTTATTATTAATTGATAAGGAGCTTAATTTTTTTCTTTTCAATATAGTCTCTCATGTTTAATACTATTGAACTTGATATGTAAATAAATTATAATAATCTTTTTTAATAATCTCAAATAAAAATTAATTTTTTTTCCAAAACTTTGATGTAATTTGAAACCAATCAAGGAAAGGAAAATAACATTATTGATGATGAGCATGTACTAAGGGAGTACAAAAGAAATCCCATTGTTCATGAGGGCAAATTAGAATTATAACAGGTTTAAATTTTTTTTTTAAAATTTTATGGGGAGTAGAGGCCCCCAAAGACTCAACGCCCCTAGCTATCATGGTTCTCTGAATTTAGTTATAATCAGTGGCGTTTATAATTGGTATTGGAATAGGATAATTATAACTTCATCTTTTTTGCAATCTTCTTATTTTTTTTTTCTTAATTCTTTCTTATTTTTTTCTTTTGTAATAACATGTTTCATTTATTATTATTTTTTTTAATTTTTTTTTCTATCATTCTTTTCCTTTTACCACAATTCACTTAAAATAAACTAATAAGTAGTTGATCTAAGTGGAGTTGGACTTGATTTCCTTAAATAAAGTCTGATATTCGAATCTTATAAATAAAATAAAAAAAAACATAGTTTAAAAAAGAGATCATATTAAAGATGATCGATCAAGTTCTCCAACAAAGAATGAAAATTAGTTATCAATAAAATTATAAATATTTCATTCCAATAACATGATTAGTAAGAAATTTCAGCTAAAAGGATGTAGGTTTAACATTATTCATTGGAGCATACAAGCTTTATGTAGCATTTGAACCAATTTTTTTTCTTTTTCTTTTTTTAAATTTCTTGAAGTATTTGCCTTTTTTTTTTTTTGTTTATACTTGGATCTCATACTCCCTCATCACTCATCAAGTGTTTTTGTTATTAGGACACCCTAACCTAGCCTACTCTTCACCTCACGGGGGAACAATAATGATTGTAAGCATAGTTTCATTGTGATCGAATACGAAAAATGGTATAAAAGAATGTTTGTATATGGCACGTATGGACATGCGTGTGTAAAGGAAGAGAGAAACTTGGAGAATAAACAATGAAGTGCGTACTCTTTATTAGGGTTTGAGTTGACGGGATGTGCAATTGGATTGGAGTGTGCTGGTGCACTAGCCAGCACCCACGCTTGCTTGTGAACAATAGGACCCACTTAGAGAACAAACATTATTTCATGTTACATTCACATTATGTGTTATCCAATTTGAAATGAGACTTGTTAATGTTATGGTTGGTGTCTGCAATTGGGCATTGCAAGTGATAAAATGGTTGGCACAGAAATGTGTAGCCGTTAAATCGAGTCCCCCTCCGTACCATGCACTCTCCGTTTCTTCTGTGGTGCCCTCTTTTTTCTAAATATCCATTAGAGAGAGTGGATTAGAGCATCAATACAAAAATAAAATAAAAATGATGAACGAGTTTATTATGGGAAAAAATGTTTATTTGTTTCTTGGATTTAATTTATTGTTAGAAAAACTATTTTGATTCTTACAAATTCAGTTGGTTTAGTTTTGATTGTTTATAGAGAGTTCATCTAACATAATTTTAGACATTAAGTAATTTTAAGAAAATGAATTGGAACACAAATGGTTAATGTGTTAAGTAGGTTAAAGTCGAATTGTTTGTGTAGTATTTAAGTTTGATGCAAAACATTAAAAAAAAAAGTATACCTTTCCACTATTAATAAAAGTCAAAAGTAAAAAAAATAGAAGACTTACAAAAAAATAAAATTAGTTTTACATATAAAAATAAACGTCTTAATACTACACAATAAAATTATATAAATATTAATACTAACTAACTTTTTTTAAAAAAAAACTTAAAAGTAAGAACTTGAACTGCTTATACTTTAATTTACTATTTCATGCAAAATACGTAAACTCTCCGTCACTAAGAATACTGATGGATATGTAAAAAATGAGATTTTAACCTTTCAAATGAGTTCGTCTAGCACTACAATAAAATTTATTTTTACTGACAATTATTTAACGGTAATAAATTAATTATGTTTATTTTATTATTTAATTAAAGTATTAATGACTAATATATAATAGTCATTAAAAATATATTTATATCACATTAAAATTTATTATTAGCGACAATTATTTATTAAGAGAAACTTTAGTCTCACATCGACTAGAAATAAGATAATTAAAGAGTATATAAATAGATAATAACTCTAACTTTACAAGTTTGTTATGTAGGGTTGAGTTAGACCTATAACTTACTATTCTAAGTTGGTATGAAATTACTCACCATTATCAATCTCAATAGTCCTTAAACTTGAAAGGACCATATATATAAGTAGAAGACAACTCTCATCTTACAAGTCCCACATCGACTAGAGATAAAGTAATTAAAGAATATTTGTACTCACTTACAAGTTCTACATCGACTAGAAAGTAAAAAATGTCACAAAGTTATACACTTTTTTCAACTATTATAAAAGTTTTTACCAGCATTTAAAATAATTATTGTTAAATATTTTAGCAATACTACATACAATGATTGATGTGAAAATGTCAATAAAATTTTTTTTAACAATTTTTATTGTCACTAAAAGTCATATTAAATGCTAGTAAAAGTCTATTTCGCGGTAGTGTAGTTAATTTCTGTTAAGGCTTGGAATTGATTCGTATCACTTGACGAAGTTAGAGAAAACGGTTGCAAATTAAAATCGAATTTTGCGATAGTTGAATCATTATTTATTGATTTAAAAGTAACAATATAGGGTATTATATAATTGAAAATTTTAAAATTCAAGGATGAAATGACAAAATTAGGTCGTACGTCCTAGATGTGTATAAATGAAAATGTGTAGGAATCTAATGCTGCAAGATGACCAAGGACGAATACTTTATTTTCACCTTTATTCTAGTAGCTTTGCTGCTTCCACAAGACAATTGACCATTTTAGGTACTTGATTGATAGGTGCATGCATGTTCATGTTATATCATTGACAAGAAAATGCTATCTATATATATAAAGAGAGATATTTCTTCTCGAAGTATCTAAATATTATGATTATTTTAAATTAAAAACCATCTTTTAACAAAGTTACAGGTTAATATCCTTTGTAGCCTCACAAAACATCACCTGGATTGCAACTTGGGATTATTTATATAGAAAATCAAATGAAGATAGTTCTCGGATTCTTACAAGAAATGTTAAAGTAAAATGGTGGAAAAAGTTTGACATTAAATTATTAAGCAAGAAAAGAATTGATGAATGGACAAGAAACAATTCTTTGACAACAATCAAGACTTCTACCTATGACAAAAAATTATCTGATCAAGAAGCTCAATTCTTAGCTAATAAAAGGATGATTATGGCAGAACTAGCGTCTGCTACGTCTCAAGAAGAATTCGAAGAAAGATTAAAATTAAATCAAGCACTTCAAGATGGTTCACAACCTGAGACTGGGTCTTCAGATTCAATATCTACTAGTCCTTATCTTCGTAATGAAGATATGTTTGATTAAATTACTTACAAAAAGTAAAAGAACAATTATTATGCCAGATGTCTCATCGGTCACATCAAATATCAAGACAAGCCAGCACCTGCCAACTTGTTTTGCCATTATCAGGAATAGTTCTCCACAGTTCTCCATTATTGTACTTTTTCTACTTTCCAGTCTTGCCCTTCAATAATGAGGTGTTTAATGCCCTCAATTGTAATTTAGTATTCTATGGTTTGCCTATATAAGGAGAAGTTCTCCTCCCTTGTAATCATCGAGTGTTTTAAGTCACAAAGCTTGTAAAATATCACTTGCCATAAAAGCTTGCTTTTCACTATCTTCTTCAACCTCTTTGTAAGTATAAATTTTTCTAGACTCTCATATTTTCATATTTATAAATATGATGATTTTATCTGCGCAAGTATATATATATATATATATATATATATAT